TCTTGCAATTTGCAGTGCGATTTCCATTATATTCTATATCTGTGAAATAGCAACAAAACTGCATAAAAAGTAATGCAAGAACTACTTTAGAAATTGCGCTGCAGCAAATCGCAAATGTTAAGACAGTGACATTCACTTTCATTAGATGCAATTTCAGGTGTGATTTCAATTCCCAAATTGCACCTGAAATCATACCGGTATGACCGGTCACTTAAACTGAAAATTAAATTTACAGCTGGAGTCTTAATGACTGGGCTGATGTGGTTTACTCTCTATTAAATATTTCTTGATTGGAAAAGTAGAAAAAAATTGTAAACAAGGCCGCAAACATTATTAATCCAAGTTGGTTTCCTTGTATTATTTGATACTGGGAGGTTTATACCGCCTACCATCCCATAACTGAATCTTATGTCTCTTAATGAAGAAGAAAGAAATCACCCTTGACTGAAAAAGCACATTCCGAAATATTTTTTTTCTGACATCCCATTCATGCACGGTCAGATTTGTTTTAGATTTGCAATTTGAATGGTCTGTTTAGGATTGCATGTTTCAAATCTGAAACAAATCTGTGTAGGAAGTAAACCTTTTTCAGTATTCCATTTTACCACTAATTTACCAAATTATGAACAAAATACACATTTTGGTTAAATACAAATTTAATTTTATATATATACTGTGTGTGGAATATAGAAATATTTGAGTGGAATATGGCATCTGACAAGGCAACAATATGTTTGACATACACATGTATTCATTTTTTTTGCAGCCTATTATTCCAGTAAATCCAATCACACATTATAACTTTGTATTAACTTTTTTGTACTATGCTACGTCATATGCCTTTTAGGCACACCAGGAGGCTTGTAATAGGAGGCGTACTTTGCTCGATCTGATGAGCCTGTGCTTAAAACGGATCTTCACCCTCATTCTTTTCTATCATCCCCCCTCTGCACCTCTCCTCTGCTTGCTTTTTTATTTACTCTTTTCTTATGACCCCCCCCCCCCCATGCTTCTCATTGAGAGAAAGAAGTGCACTATGCACGTCATATATCCCAGAGGCAGTGTCTTTCATTGAGAAAAGAGGATGAGGCTGACCTAGCAGTGAGTCATTGGGAGAGCCACTGGCTTCCCAATGACACCACGCATGAAGATGGCAGTGCGAGCAGAAGTCAGCAGGACAATGCTGGATCTGCTGAGTGGGTAACTATGTTAACTGCAGGATCTGCAACCAGGTAAGCAGGAGTTAAGAAAGAAAAAAATGTGGGGGTGGAGGGTGAAAGTCCTCTCTAACCAATAATTGCAATAGCAGCAAATGTGAAGCATTATAAATTATACATTACAGTAGCATTCATCACTGTGCACAATAAACAGTCATGGACTGCTTAAACTTGCCATACAAAATCTGATTTTTTTTTTTTTCATTCAGCGCGGTTGGACAAATCTCTTGTGGCTTTGTATCCTTATAGCACTAGTGGATGTTAGATGACCTGAAAAGCAGTTGCATCTAATTGGTTGCAGCCAGTACTTGGCCAACTATATTTGATAAAGCTCCTTTGGTTTTTCAGTCAAAGGATATTATGTGGGAGGGTGACAACAGGGCCACCCATGTAGCAAATCTGAACTGATTCATCAGGAACTGGACGAAATTTGCAAAGTCCATTGCCACCTTCAGATCTTACAAATTTAAATTAAGAAATCTGAAAATACACACACACACGTGCGCGCATACACATACACATACACACACACACACACACACACACACACACACACACTTACTGGTAAGTGTTTTGGGAGTTGTAGAACTAATTACACTTTTTTTTCTTAAACTCTGATCCTAATGAGATGCTTTGCTATACCGCTGACTACCTGCCAGTAATTTCACGGTAGAAACACTTAAAATGTTGAACAAAGAATCCAGTGTATTAAACAAAGACACAGCAAAATCTGCAGTTATTCAAAATACAGGACCTTTTCCATACATAAAGCCAAATGTTTCAAAGAATTCTGGTAATGGAGCTAATGTACCTGGAAGCTTGGGAACAGAAGTATAACACAGGCTATATTTACAATGTGTATATAATTGTATCCAGAATGTTCAAGTGTGGAAAAAAACTCATTACATTAGCCACTATATAAATCTCAGCAAGATCACCCTTAATTCAGTATTCCGTGTAATGATTCCCTGTATAAGTAAGTAAAATGTCACCTGCCACACAAGCAATTACACACATTTAACAAAAAGGTTAAATGTTATTGCACGTACAATACTGTTTTTAGTAGCGGCTCTTACAGAAACAGTATGGAATAATGAGACGTTTATATTTGTTAATTTATCATTTTGGATGTTTAAATTAGAATCATTAAAGAAAACTTCTGCTAAGTATTGGTTGCATCTAAACTGAACCAAAAACTCCTGTGAAAATATTAGACAAAGAAACACCTTATTTTTATCTTCTAAGTTATGTGCCCTCAGGCTTCCATCTGTCATAACTAGGTGCCACTCCTTCCCAGCATGGCATACCTAGTGGGGTGGACTTCCCTATTAGTAATTTTAAATTGGAATGCACTAAGGCTAGAAAAACCTGAATCTGGAGCAACTGCGCATCACAACCAATCATCTTCTAGCTGCCATTTTCATAGCTCAAAAGATAAGTTCACCTTTTGGACAAAAATAATAAATGCACTTTTTTTGCAGGTAAAAAAAACGTGCATTTATTATTTTTGTCCAAAGGATCCTGGAAAGCATTGCACCAGTGATCAGTACATCGTTGATGCCATGCAGGTCTCCTGCAGACCTGTCAGAATATCTGCTTGTTGTACTGAATGATTGAAAACTACAAGCCAACAGCCATTAAGGCTGGAAGGACTTGCAATTCATTCATTCATGGAAGTCTGCGCTGTTTTCAAGTTTGACAGATAGTATGGGGAGATGTTTCCCTGTACTATCTGTCAGAGGGAGGGGAGCGGCAGCTGCAGCTATGGGAACATGTTACATGTTTCACCCTTAAAACAGGTGGAACATGTAACATCTTCCAAAGGTGAACTTATCCTTTAACTAAACAGCTTATTAATATGCACAGATGCTGCAGTTTTAGTAAAGTCCCTCCATAGAATCTTACTCAGCCTGATAGATAGGAGCTCATTCAGAGAATCTGAGGCAAGCTGTGGCACTGGAGAGTGCCTGCTATGTGACTTATATGCATAAATTGTACATACATCGCAGGTATGCTTTAATCACTTCAGGCCAGCGCCTCCCGGCCCTTTAAGAGTTTCAGAAGCTGGGACATGGGCGGGGTGTTAAGGTCATGTGACTGCCGTGATTCGCCATCACGGCAGTCACGATTGGAAAAGGTCCCGATCGAAAGGGCAGATTGGGACCTTTCCGTGAGTCACAGACATATGTGCTGGGAGCGCGCAGGGCGCATGCTCTCAGCACATATGCATTTTTTAATTTCCCGCAAATATGCACCCACTAGGCTTCAAGGCCCAGACACCGAGAGGCCGCATATTTGCATGCGCTCGGTGTCAAGAGGTTAAAGTGGTTGTAAACCATCATGTATACCCAGTGACGTGACTGGCCTTCGGTGATACACGGAGATGAAACAAATCCTCCTACATAAGTTGTACCTGTATATCTACAGTTGTCTGTCCCCTAAATCCATTCAAAGTGCAGAATTCACACAAGATCTCTCAGCTCTGAAAAGCAGGGGAAGGGTTGCTGAAGCTTTAGGAGCAGATTGGAGGGAAGGGATACACCCACCTTCACACAGAGGAACAGAGCTGAGGCTGTCAATCTGCTGGAGACCCTCCCCGTCATCATTTTTATCTTGGTGTCAGGAAGTGAATCATGCTTATAGCAGAGGAACGAGGCAGCGGGCAGAAATTACACTCTGTACTCTGGATTCAGAGTATACACACTATAGAGGGATATACTTTGTTCATGTTTCATATGTTCATGTTTACAACCACTTTAAAGTAAATACTGTATATACTGATACAAATTTGTAGTCTGCCATTGCTGACCTTCTCAAAATGCTAGTTACCTGGGTGGCATCAGTACTTGTGCAATTATAACCATGTAACAAATACAGTCAGGGTGAAGTTATAAGACCTGATCGGTATATTTGCTCTAGATCAGTGACTAGAAAAGTATTAAAGCCACTTGAATCACATCAGAGCAAGGCATCTAGTATTTTGAGAAGGCAATTATCACACCTAATGAACTTCTTTCTGTACAGATTTCCTTTAATGCAGGATGAGCCCATACACTCATTTGCTTTCCTTCCTGCTCAATCAAAGCCCTCACTTAATTACCATAAACCTCCTCCATTTGACATTGTTTGGGCCCGAGTGACCAAACGCAAGGAGTAGACACTGTGAAGTAAAAAGGACCAATGACATTTTCCTCTCCAGTAAGTTCCAACACCACCTGTCACCAGATCTGCAGTAGAAATGCAGCTAAGAAATGTGGATCTGTGAATTGGGCTATCAAAGAATACCATCAGTTTGTCCTGAATGGGCAAAAGCGAGTGCCTTTTTAAAAGATCCCTAGAACGTTGCAGATTAGCAGTATGCAGGTTTTGCAGTATAACATTACTTGCAAACCGCAGTATTCTGACTCTGGTCTGTGAGATATCACTAAATTGGGACTGTAATGTCACAACACTACAAAGGTATAAAGAGCATTTATCAAAGTATAATTATACCTAAATATAACAGAAAATCCACACAAAACAACCCAAACAATTTGAAAATATATAAAAATAAATCTTGTTACAACACATATCAAACATTACACACAGAAACAAATTTCACACAAAGGGAATTAAAGGGATTTATATGTCTATACATATAAATAAAAATACAGTATTGATAAATAGTATAGTATATTATAGTAAAGTGATTAAAAAACAAGTCCTCTCAAGATTTAGTAAGTTTATAAGGAGTGTTTTAGTGGTTTGTGCCATTTTCCAAGCGTATTGTCCAGTTTTTTTTTGCTATCCATATATCTGTTTGAATTGGTAGCATTCATTGCAGTAACCGCTGCACTTGTTGTTTCCAAAGTGATCACATCCTGGAGCCCTACACCGTAGCTTAGGAGTGTCTTCTCCAGATGACTTGCTGTGACTGCCTCTGTGTTTGCACTGAGCACAAAGCTCTTCATTTCTCCCAGTTACTGGATTCCTGCAGACATCCCTGGCACATTTCTTCATTTGGGGACCAGAGCGATTTGGTCCAGATCTCTGAAAAAATAAAAAAAATGAATTTTAACAATGTGGTTTAGGGCTTGGCATTAGAGTGAGGCTTGCTACTACATGAAAGTCATTGTTACTCGGGGCAAAGAGACAGGTTCTGGTAATAACACATTTACCCTCCACTCCATTCCCCTGTCGAAGTCCACAGAGATAAACGGTGCTTCCAGTTATGGGGGAGTATGTTATCTGCTACCCTTTCTCCCAGAAGGGCGTGAGAGCCCAATTGCCAAACTTGTATACTTTCACATAGGTGACTGAAGAAGGTCAAGAACTGTGTGATCTGAAAGGTCAGTGAGGGTCTAGAGGAGCATAAGGAAGGTAATCACAGATGATGGGTATGATGGGGGTGGCCTCTCAAGTGAATCTGTCATTTAGCCCATTAGGACAGTAACTTTAGAGTGAAACATCAGGCAAACAGCCAAGTACAGTTAAATGAAATACATATTTACTGTTTTACCTATTAATAATTCTGTACAGACATTTTTGTGATTTACATACATTTCCACACTGCACAGCCAGATAGGTGGCACATGTAGTTCCAGATTAAGCAATTAATCTTCCTGGTTTAGCAATGCATTTTTCTAGGTGAATCATCATCATCACCTCTATTCAATGAACAGGAGGTTGAACAGGGAAGCAGTCATTTTAAACCAGAAATAGCAGAGTCATCTGATTAGCAGAGGCACAGCAATCACAAGAATGAATGGCTGTGCTGGCCTATGGCAGCATAATTTCTAAATATAGTCTTTTTTTTGGTTACATAAGATCTACGGTAACTCAAGATGGATGTCAGTCTTCCAAGTGCTATAAGGAAAGGTTTACTTACCTCTGTTTGTCTCTGCATTTGTTGCTCTGGATTTCTGGCTTCACGATATCTCTGATTCTGAGCTTCAATGAAACACTTTTGACAGAATCCTTCAAACATTGTACTCCCTAATGTGCTGCATTCTGGCCCTAGGCAGCGACTCATGTCTTTAAATGCAGCCACACTGACATTGCTTTGTGATGATTTGTGAACTCTTCTAGAGGCACCACCTGGAAAATAATGAGCAGAATTGTAATTACATCTTGACATAATTACATTGTTGATAGAATTATACTGTCGAGACAACGTACACCAATCAGTTAAAAATGCTTAACTTTTAATCATTACTTCTAAAATACTTTAGCATGACTGACACTCTAAAACCATTTGCAAAATATGTTTAAAAACTACAGCTGCTTGTAAATCGGAAATATTGGCTATTACCTGTTGTATGACAGTAAATGTGTCAGATCTGTTAAAATGATCTCACTTACTTAATTATGGACTATTTCGTTAAAAAAAAAAAAAAGTGCAGGTGGGACAACATTGAGTTAGTATAGAGAGTGTCTAATTTTAACTTTGCATTTAAAGGAAATCATATATAATATACCGGTACATATTAATACTGTAAATTAGGGATGCACCGAAATTCCGGTGGCCGAAACGTTTCGACCGAAAACACCCCTTTCGGCTGTCGGCCGAAATGAAAAACAAAAACATTAAACACATTTCTTTTTTAAAAAGTTTAAAGTGTCCCCCCATGCTCGCACATAGTGGTGAAAGCATATGTAGGCCATGCCTACATATGTACACGGTGTTCACACCACACATGTGAGGTATCGCCACAAACGTCGGAGCAAGAGCAATAATTCTAGCACTAGACCTCCTCTGTGACTTTACACTGTTAACCTGTTGAAATTTTTAAAGCATCACCCATGGAGATTTTTAAGTATCGCGTTTCCTGCCATTCCTGCGAGGGTGCACAATTTTAAAGCGTTACATGTTGGGTATCTATTTACTTGCCAGAACATCCTCTTACATATTTTACAAAACAATTGGGGTATATATTGTTTTTTTTTTACTCAAAGTGTATTTTTTTCCAAAAAATATATATTCCTTTTTAAAAACCGCGCATTTCAGTTTTTGGCCAAGTGCATTTTGAATTTTCGCTTTCGGCACCAGGATTTCCATTGCAGTGCACCACTACTGTAAATAATGGCATTAACTACTTCCTTGTTATTACTGCTTCCAGGGTTGCTTCCTTTCTCATTGGACAGAGGTGAAAATTAATTTATTGTCCAGAGAGGAGAAAGGGGGTGGAGATGTGACATAGGAAGCTGTGTTGAAGAATCAGGAAAGTCTGTCATCTTAGTGAACAACTGAGGTCTCAAGATTCCTAGCTTACTGCTGGTTTGGAACAGTAAAATGACCTTATACAGAAGCCCTAGGCAGATTCTCTATATCCCTTGCATGCAATCAGTGCTTAATTTTTAGTTTAGATTCTTTAGAATCAATTTTTTATAAAAGGACAAAGTTAATTGCTTTTATAATATTCTGCACTGTTGAACCTTTCTGTTTAAAACTGTAGGAAAACAAAGAGGATAAGTCATTATATAAAAATTTTTTACATTTATTTTTTTAGATGCAGTCAGGACATAAACATTTAAATATTTACTTATTTTACTACCCTTTGTAGTTGTAAACACTGTTGAGCAATTCAGTCTCAAAAGTCACATCAGAAGTACTGAAGTCATTGTGTAAGTTAACATAGCTCCCCGTTTCCCCCTCCCAATGGTATTTTAGGAGCCTTCTTGCCTAAATTGTGGGCTTATTTGTCTGAGAGAATAACCTGAAAGTGCTCATTCAGTACGTCTGCTGTGTATTTGAGGAAGAATTGATCCACAGTGCCTGCAGACAGAGAGGTCATCAAGGACATGTTTAAAGTTAATCTGCTGTTTGTTAGGAATATGTAAATACTTGAATATTTATAGACTGCCCACAAGTTCAATAGGCCAAAATTTGGCCTGTGATTTCATAGCAGAAAGCAGCAATACATGAGTACAGGTAATATTAAAGAGTATATATTAAAAAGTCTAGCAATTACCTACCATTATTCTCCTGATATTCAATAAAACATAGTGTGCAAAATCCTTCATTTTGTAGTGTCCCAAAAAACTTGCAGCCAGACTTCCTGCACTTTTGGTTAGATGTTCTTTCTTCTGCATTATACACAGCACCAGACTGAGACCCGAGAGCTGGTTCCTGGCTCTTATTGCTGGTTATCTCCAAACCTGTCAGGTTCACTAAGCTTCCTGATCCATTTATAGGGTCTGAGAAAGACCTCTGATGAGCCACGGATGGGCAATTTGAACTGTGTGTTTGCTCTGTGGTCCTTTTAAAGCAAGAACTGCAAATACCGTTAAAAGTCCTTGTGGTGTCTTGAAAACAAATATTGCACCTAATTATATCCGGGTCCCTTGTCCTGTCTGCCTTCCTACCAGACTGAATTTGCCTGGTATTATGGCAGCGTTCACACAGTCCATTGAGCTCCACATTCAATGTAAAGGGACAGTCAGGTGTTTTACATTTCATTGCATTTGTTTCACTATAAATAAAAAGACTTGGTGCTGTAGCCAGAGCAGTGACAGAGCCAGACACAGTCTCCCCTGTTATCTGACAAGATGGCTCCAAATACTCTGTTCTGTTGGGAATGGTTTCACCCTTGTGCACTTGAACTTTAGTTCTGTCACTTGACTTTTGTTTCCTTTCAAAGCACTCATGGCAATAAGGTTGGGTGTTCACAGACATGTAGAAAGGACAGTTTAATGTTTCACATTTTACTTCCACAAGAGAAAGTTGAGGTAGGCAAAGTTCATATCTACGTTTACCACAATTGCCCCTGCTTGTTTGCTCTGAAAACTCTTGCCACCTTTTGTATTCATGTTGCACTAGCTGACAATAGTCTTCTACTAAGCTGATTTCTTTTGGTAAATTATTCTCATCCAGTCTGTAAAAAAGTAAAAACGTTAGGGCATATTTTAATTTATAATTTCTTATTGCATGCAATGGCTGACTATCTGATCAAAACAATTTCATTTAAAAGGGCTACACTGCTTTTAATGAAGCAAGGAAATGTCAAGATAACAGATGCACAATATATCCGTTTTTTTGTAATATTGTTACTACAATGTTACAGCAGGGTTGCCATAACAAAAATATTGTTGTCCATGTGAAATGGAGTTAAGGGATGTATAGGCTGTTAATTATGCCCACAAATCTACAGAACAGATTCATCGCAGTGAGGGTTCTGATTTAGTTTAATAGCTGTTGTCTTGTTTAGCAAATTCCCTATACTGTTGGCAACATTACAAAAAGCAATGCTTTCCTTCTTTGCTGATACTAAAGTCTTGTTTTTTTTTTTTTTATAACAAACATGTTATACTTACCTGCTCTGTGCAGTGGTTTTGCACAGAGCAGCCCCGATTCTTCTCTTCTCGGGTCCACCGCTGATGCCCCTGGTCCCTCCCTCATGAAGGGTGCCCTCACAGCAAGCATATTGCTCTAGTGGCACCTGAGCAGGCGCGCTCCTGAGCCACGGCTCTGCGTATCCATTCACACACAGAGCCACAGCTGAGCCCTGCTCACTCCCTCTCCTGATTGGCTCACTGGCTGATTGACAGCAGCAGGAGCCAATGGCTGTCTCAGCTAATCAGGAGTGAGAGTCCCCAGAGAACGGATCGAACTGGGGCTCAGGTAAGTGTTAGGGGGGGCTGCTGCACACAGAAGGTTTTTTTTACCTTCATGCATACAATACATGAAGATAAAAAACTTTGGGCCTTTAAAACTACTTTATTAACTCATTGTGCATTTTGCAAAAACATACAGTACACAGAGAATCGTTGTGGTTGGTTTATATAAGTCCCTTTATTCATAAAGTCCATTCAAATCTAAAGAACAATGCTCCCTAGCCTTCGAGAGAGTTACCTTTGACCGCTTCGCAACCATCCTATAGCAGATATACTGCTACGGGGCGGCAGAGTTGCACAAAATCATATATATATATATATATATATATATATATATATATATATATATACACGTGATTTTACATTTCCGGGTACGGGGCCATTTGTGGCTGCAGCTGTCAATCACCAGTTTATTCGGATTACTCGCCGGTGCCCGGTGATTGCCGAGCATCTCTGACGGGGAGGAGAACTGTATCTAAATAATACAGTTCTCATTCCTGTCAGCTCGTGCACACTACTTTGGATGGCTGTGCACAGCACGGACACAGCTTACAGTAAAATAGCAGCCATCACTAGTGAAAATGAAAAATAAAAAAAAAAAAATTCCAGTATCCATACCGACATGTGTAAACGCTATAACTTTCACATAAACCAATTAATTTACACGTATTGGGATTTTAGACATGTAGACAGAATACATTTTGGCCTAAATTTATGACGAAATGTGATTTTTAAAATTTTTTTACTGGACATGTTTACAGAAAAAAGTAAAAAATATTGTTTGTTTTTTTTTCAAAATTGTCGGTCTTTTTTTTATATAGTCAAAAAATAAAAACCGCACAGGACGATCAAATACCACAAAAAGAAAGCTTAATTCGTGGTAAAAAAAGGACGTAAATTTTATTTGGGTGCAGCGTTGCATTACCGCACAATTGTCAGTTAAAGTAACGCAACACCGTAACACAAAAAATGTCCTGGTCAGGAAGTGGGGTAAATCCTCAGGAGGGCAAGTGGTTAATCAGAAGATGGTTTAATCCACTAATAACCTCAGTACTGGAGTAAATAAAACTAGAACTGGAATAAAAACCTCACTGGTAATTCTACTCATATGCATAAAGAAATATACTGTTTTGAGTCATCTTGCCAAAGAAAACTAACAGAAGGAAAAGTCTATTAGAAGGTGAACTCACCTGGCAGTATTTATTAGATGGGTAGTGCCATGTTCCCATGACTGAACAGGTATCTGCAGTATATATAAATACTCTTTCAGAAGCTTGTCTTTGGTTTTTTCTTCATGATCAGTTAAGAAGTGCACTTTCATATCTTCATATCTACCACTCTCATTGAACACAAGTGGGACAGCTCGAATCTCTGCTTAAAAAAATTTAATTCTTTCAGAAAGAGAATGTACGTGACTATTTATGCAGTCAATGAAGCTAAAAAATGAAAACATATGCTGATTTTAGTCTGCATGGGTTGTTTCCCTAATCTCCTGAACTATACATACATGCAAATTCTGAATGAACTTAATCAAAAACCTAGTTATATAGCGACTGTAACTGCATGTGTATGTAGTAATACTGTTTTCTCTAGATTTTGGATAATCATTACTGAACAGCTGGATCATAAATGTTCATGATTTTCAGAATGGAGACAATATCTGGAAGTATCTAACTTTCAAAGTTAAGTATCAGGGTGCAAATCAATTGTACATACCTGGACCAGTGTCCATCATAGTGACAAGAGGTGCAAAATGCTGGCTTTCGTAGCCAAGAACTATAGGGTATTTATAGCATTCCTGTGCAGGCCAATGGAGAGGTAGGTAAATCCCACTAACATTAAGAGGGGAGAAGCTAGAGCCAGACTCCAAGCTACGAATTACATTGTCTGTGGAGAAAAAGTAAACACATTGGTGAACATTTATCAAGCCAATTCATTACACAATTAGCTGCAATGAAACAAAAACTGAACTGCCACACCACTACTAAGAGATCCAGATACAACTTTATTCCAATAAAAGTCAGGGGTGCAATCCAAAAATTGTCTGCCTAACAAGCTGCTGATAAGGCCTGTGCACATAATTCACACTGAAAAAATTACCATTGTAGGTCCATTTCACTCTTGGTTTGTTCACATTGTTGTCGATCAAGCCTTCATGAAGAAGGGGGGGGGGCTTTTGGACCCCAAAAACACATTGGCTACTTTTTGGGTTTTCCACCTGACTTTTATCTTAATAAAGTTGTATCTGAACCTCTTAGCAGTGGTGTGGCACTTCAATTGAAGGTAGACAACCAAGACAGACTTGCACAGGTTCATGCTAAACAGATGCACAATTAAGAAGTGGTCAGGGGAATGTTTTATTCTGCCATAGTTCCAGCTTAGAGCAGCAGGAAGAGGACATTATGGAAGAACCTGAGCTCTTAAATTAAATCGGTCTCTCTCAATGCTCCTATTTAGCACTGCCTTGCATATGTGGCAGAATTATTATATGTACCCCTGTTTTTTATTATTCCTATTATTCATAATTATGTTTGCTTAACTATCATGAGATGCTAACATCACTTGCAGTTACAAATGAGCCTAAACTTTTTCTATTGTTCCTACTCAATCAGATTAGAGCTAAGAGGACTTGATTTTTCAACTTCAATGGTAACTCTAGATCTTGAGGTGATAAAAAGGGAGGGGGGCTGTGCATCATCAGGGTAATTAAGTGGGCACCCTCCCTCAGCGGCACTGTATTGGTAAGCCCACTCCCCTCCAGAAAGCTCATATACGACCTGCCAAGTACACCCCCCTTGGTTCCATATTTGCCTGTCTAATATTGCAGCCATGTTCTTGTCTTTCCTTTAAGTCCTCATGCACACTGGACGTTTTTACAGCGGCTGTCTATGGCATTTTTTTCTACAGCCACTAAACTCCCCAGCATGTTATCCTATATGTCCATGCACACACAGACTGTAATCAGCATTTTTTGGCAGGAAAAAAAACCCAGAACTAGTGGGTTTCTAGAGTTTTTAGCTGGAAAAACGCTCTAATGCTGAAAAACATGGCAAAACACGGTAAAATGTGGTAAACCAGCGTTTTTGGACTTTTTTTGAGCAAAAATATAATTTTTTTTGTAAAAATAAGCTAAAAAGAACAAAACGCGTAAAAATGCTAATGCAAAAGCGCTAAAAAAAAGCTGAAAAACTCACATTTTTAACGTGACTTTACACAGCTAACGTTACCAGCATTATTACAACGCCCCATGTGCATGGAGCCTAAGTCCAAATCAAATTGCTACTTTTTCTGCTGCATTTGATAAGGACTTGCAGGGAGTGACTCCTCACTCCCATCTTCTTTAGAAGCCTGACTGTAGAAGTAGCAACAAAACCCCTGCATCTCACTTCTATAGAGAAACCTATATCTTCCAATCATTCTGAGCAGTTTCTGTTGTCACTTGCAAGGTGTTTGACTGAGAGTGCAATCTTCTTCCCACCACTGATTCAGGTATACCTCCTTCAGGGTAAGGGTAGGATGTCATAAATAGCTGTGATGATTAGGCAAGATCTCTTCATTTCCCAGGCTCTCTTTTCTAGGCTCTCCCAACTAGTCTATTGGCCCTGCTTGGTTGTGGCATTCTGCTCTGCCTCTTCCTGCCTTCTGACTCCCAACACCACAAGCTGTCTCCTCTACCCTAATGATGCCTTGTATCACTAAGTGCTTTCGATATGAGCCCAAGATCTGTTCTTCCATAGTAAACTTAGCAGAGAGCAGCAATCAGTTGGTCTTGATCCCAAACCAAAAAAAAATGTTTTATTTAGAGACCATGGACATTTTTCTAGGTTCTACTGAGAACCATGGGTCTTATGCATTAATGTCTAATCCCTATGTATCTTTGCTGTCTGGACTTCTAACAGCAAAGTTTTAGGAATTCCTAAAAAAGCATGGTCTGATTGGTAAACAGTGTTGGTATAGCTATTAGTATTCAGACCATTCAAACATTCAGTATTCAAACATACATATAATCTAAAAAGTGCTTGACACCAACTAAATAATGACATTCAACCACTTCCCTGACGCATGCATTTTTATTTGTCAATAACCAGCCCTGTCTTAAAGTGAACTGAACATTCCTATCTTCTTATCTGCCAAGAACAGTGCCATCTTAGCCTCTATTTTTAGTTCTGCCATCACCATTGTGCTGCACACATGACCAGCAATGACACCAATTGAGGTCCTGAAAGATCGGCCGTAACATATCCTGTGCAGGCACTACTAGGCAGAATGTAAATAAGGACATTGAAGGAAACAATATTGGTTTGTGTGATTAAAGGTTTAATAACATTTTTGTACATTTCTAACTTGAGTTTTCTTTTAGGAAACAGTTAATTTGTGGATTTATGTTTGCTTTAAATTAAAGCAAAATAAATTGTTCAAATACAAAGTTCCTTACCCCTCTAAACAGTATCCAGGGAATTATCTATAGTGCTCCGTTTGCCTTTGTGCTAAATAAATTGTGATAAAAACAAACAGAGGCATTTAAACCTAAAGACTATTCAAACCCACAATAGAAAGGAAGACAACATTTTCCATTTTCAATATAGTCACCTGAAAGAACAATGATTGGTCTCCTAAGGATGTTAACTAGGACGAATATATGAATTTCTTCAAGGCAGTTATTACTGGAGTCCATTTTGGCCCATTGAGGGCTCTGTTGATGCCATCCTAACAATATGTTCCCATTCATCATCCCAATTCTGTGGATAAAATAAAAGTCATTTTAGAAACAAAATTGTATAACTGTCAGTTTCATCATACACACAATGTTTCACATTGCAATTTCTGTGCCATGAATGTATTTAAAAATAGTCTTTCCCAAAGCTTTATCAAAGGCATTATATACCTATGACGCCTCAAAGGAGTGTTTTGTTTCTGCTTTAGGCTTGGTTGACATATATGCATTTTGCATTTGGTGCTCTCTAGTGCTTTTTGCAGTTTGTTTTGCAATTTTCTACATGCGTTTTTGACACACTCTTACCGTATTTTGTTCAGCTTTTTTTTTTTTGTTAAAGCATATTTTTTTTGGGCAGAATAAAAATGCAAAATGCGCCAAAAACACACTACCATATATGTCAACAGCTTCTCCATTAAACTCTATTGTAGAAAAAACACTGCTTTTTGCTTTTAAAAATAGTCCCGGACCCTTTCAAAAAATGCAGCAGCTCAAAAAAAGCAGAGATGTCAACACGTTCCATTGGAAACCACGTTAAATGGACTGTAGTGCGTTTCTGCAAAAAGCACAAAAAACGCATTGGTGTGAACAGAGCCTTAGAGATATATCGCCTATTGGGATGGTAAGGAACATAGGAATCTCCTTGAATTTGTCCATCCTTAAGCAGTATTAACTATGGGATGCCCTATCAAGTGGTAGTAGCATCAGCATATGGGTTTGTATGAACTTTCAATGGGGGTTGGGGGATTTCCCTCTCTCATATATATACATACACACACATATACATATACATATATATATATATATATATATATATATATATATATATATATATATATGTATATATTGCTTGCCAGGTATTTTAAACCTAGCTCCGTAGTCCTATCCCTGTTCAGCAGGGATAGTCCATCCCTCTTCAGCAGCAGTTGATAGGTCGACTTCTGGCAAATTGACATGTTGGAAAACGTTTTTTGACCAACGGCTGCAGCCACTGATCAGTGTATTCTAACAGTTCCATGTCCCGCTGTCAGAATACAATAATCCAATTGGTGGGGGGAGGGGAATGGATTCCTTCATCAACGTTGCTTGTGTGGAGAGAGGAATCTGTTTTAATTTGTTCAGCCTGCTGGCTGAAAAAAAAAAAATAATCTATGGCTAGCTTTATGTCTTATAGAGGACAATTTCCATTTGTTCCAGTTATTATAATTATACTAAAAAATACTAAGAAAGTTTCAGATTCATTGATCCCGCATTGCTAAATAATTTGTTTTCCATATCTTACCCTAGTATCGTATCGAAGCCCTGTTTGTATAAACTCTGTGGATTTAACAGATTCAAGCTGCCAGCGGAATTTAAAGTTTCGAGTATCTGATGTTCTTAGAACTTCTTGTAAGGTTTTTCTCAGCAGTAAATCTGTGTCCTGCACACCCCACATATACATAGATGTGGCATGCATTAAGCAGTTTCCATCACCTACAAAAAAAAAATGACAGAATTTATATGGCAGACTGCAGACAGAAAAATCAACATATTGACTCCTAAAAAAACATAAATCTCTCCATCATGCTCATTAGATTGTATTTTTGGTATAACATAAGTACCTTTAAAACTTTATGTTAGTAGGGAAATCTAGAAGCCATTATAAAAGTAGACTGAGCATACCATAGCCTGACAGTGAGAATAGTTGTTAAGTCCCACACCTGCCTGAATCAGAATTTATTTTCCTCCCCTCATATCTGGAAATCAAAAACCCCCAGCCCCGTGTTCCCCTGTAAACTTGTGACATTTTGGATGGAATATACTTGTTAAAGTGATTGTAAAGGTTCATATGTTCTTTAAAAATAACAAACATGTTATACTTACCTGCCTTATGAAGTGGTTTTGCGCAGATCAGCACCAATCCTCTTCTCACCCCCCCCCCAGCGCTCCAGGCTCTTCCCTCCTGCTGAGCGCCCCCAGAGCAAGCTGCTTGCTTTGGGGGCACTTGTGCATGTTCACTCTCAAGCCGCCTCTATGTATCTATGAGACACACACAGCTCGGCCCCACCACCCACTCCCTCTTCACTGGTTGTGGTTGAAAGCAGTGGGAGCAAATGGCCAAATGGCTCCTGCTGCTG